TGCATATGTGCCCAGCATGGGTTACAAACCACAAAGCCAGGACTCAAACCACAGTTAGCCACGTGAAAGTCCAGTGCCTTACCCACTTGGTATCCAGCAGCCCTGAAAAAAAAACAATATTTTTAAGAAAGATGTCAAAGAAGAGCTAAATCAATGGGGACAAACACCACATTCATGAGTCAAAAGGCAAAATGTAAAGATGCCAGTTCTGACCAAAATGACATATAGGTTTAGTGACCTTCCTATCAAAACTGCACTAAGTTATTTTGTAGACATGGGCTAGATCATTTTAAAACTTACATGGAAAGGGAAAGGAATTAAAATAATGAAGACTTTTTTTTTTCTTTTTTTGGAGAGGTTTTTGCTATAGGGTGTGTGCACTCATCAGACAGAGAAAGAGAGACAGAAAGCAAGAAATCACCGCCCAGGGGCAATAGCGATGCAGCAATCCCTTCTCCTCCATTCTCCTCTCGGAATCTTGGGCATGCATGCACACGTGCCTAGCGTGAGTTTAAGCCACCCGATCCGGGACTCGAACCGTGGTCAATTATATGAGAGTCCAATGATACAGCCATTACGCTAACTGCTGGTCCCAATGAAGACAATCTTTAAAATGATGAAGTAGTAGGAATCAAATTACCCAATTTCATGCTTATTGTCCAGCCACAGATGAGTGTGTGGTATTGATGGAGAGATAGACATATAGATCAATGGAACAAAGAACACAGAAATACACCCATACAAATATGCCCAATGGATTTTTTAGAAAGAATAATGACAAATTAATAATAGAAGTTATATGACATTTAGATGTGAAGGAGAAATTATCAAATAAAATAGAGGATAAAAAGGACACACAGACACAAAAAGATAGGCAAAAGGTTAGCGTAGGCCACCACTTCTGATCTCCCAACCTCATCAGTCCCTATCAGAACCTGCTGCAAAGAGCATGAGCTCCTATTGGACTCTTCCTGTGTCCTGGCACAGAAGAAGCTTTAGGAATATTGTCCTAGGATTTCAAATTCAAATGGGCTATTGAAACTGATAGCCTCCAAAAACAGTGATTTATACTTGATGAGATATTATAGAACCCATTATTCTTGTCTGCCTTTCCCTCGTATGATTTAATTTCTCCAAACACTTGTCTGTTCCCAATTCCCAAGTCAGCCTCAATTTTCTCTTTCTCTATGGACCTGCAACTCCTCTGTGGTCCATGCCTGGCCTTCCCTGGAGATAGACACTGATGAAAAGTGGCCTATGCAGTGGGATAAAGCTATTGCCTCTATTGCAGACATCGTGAGCTCCTGCAGGATGTGAGTGGCAGGGAAGCCTTGAGCAACAGCTAGGGTGAGTAATCAGGGACTCTGACATATCTCTTTTTCCACTTGCCAGATGGGAAGCTGCCAGAACCTCAGATTCACATGGAGATAGAAGGAAGAAGGAAGGGACTGGACGTAAAGCAGGAAGAAACACAGTTTGGGACAATGGAGGAGAAGGGATTGTGGTGTGGCCATTCACCCTGGGGGGTGATTTCTCACTTTCTCTCTCTGTCTCTCTCTGTCTTTCTGGCGAGTGCACACGCCCTATACCAAAAACTTCTCCAAAAATAAAAAATAAAACTACTATAAATATTAAGTATTAGTCACTTGTGTAACAGTAATTTCACATAATTCCCATCATGAATATTCCCCATCCTCAATTATTTTAAAGTCAGTCTAAAACATTGTGTCATTCTGTATTTTAAAATATTTTAAGTATTTTATTTCTCAAAATAATATTCTAACCAGGTCCAAATATGACATTTTGTTAAGCAAGTCATGTCCAATCTACTCCTCTTCTTTTTTTGTTTTCTAATAATTTATTTGTAGAAGAAACCGACATTTTGTTCTGTCAAGTTTGTTTGTGCTTTTAATTTGGATTTTTTTAACTTCACCTACTGGTTTCTTTCAATGTGCTTGTTTCATTCTGTCTCCTCTCTTTTCTATAAACTAGTAGTTAACTATGAGCCAGATTTGTTATTTTGATAAAATATCCAATTTCATTTCTTTGATTTCCTTCATTGTATGATGTTTTTGACCCTTGACAATTTTATCTATTATTTTATCGGGTTCATAAAAAAAAATGATACTCTAATTCTATTATTCTTTATAAGCTGCAATGCTTTTATAAAGAGAAAGTATCCCTCATCAATGTTTTGTTTATACCATGCAAAACTTTATAAAAGAAAGGCAGTTCTTTTGCCAGTTTTCAGAACATTAAGTACCTAGCATCACTGACTAGTGAGAACACATTTAATCTGACTCAATCCATTGCAGTTGTCATTGATGCGCAGTTGATCTGTATTTGTCAAGTGGAACCTCTTCAAGTCGACATTTTTATCTTTTCTTAATGATCCCAGTTGTGTTGGAATGGTTCCATGATTTCTAGTATTAAAAGATGTTCAGTTCATTCGGTTCATTTCTAGCACGAAGTTTGAAATTAACCATTTAACAAAGGATAGTTGACTCCTTTTAGGAAAAGATGGTATTAGAGACCATATGTAAGCATTAGGGTGCCTCTTACTCCTTTGTTTTTCTTGCTTCTAATTATTTTCTGCCGATAAAGGTGAAAAACATTATTTAAAAATGAAATACATGGGGCCCTTATTCTGATATGTCTAGTTTTATAATTATAGTGTTTTAATTAACTTGTTTGATTTTTTAGATAGGAATCCTTTTCCTTTTACCATGAAAGTCTTGGTTCCCAAAGGCATTAACACACATAAAACACTCATCCTACAATGTTAGTGCATATTTCATAAGATAATAATGTGATTGAATGTATATTAAAAAAAGAAAAATGCAAATGAAACTAATTTTTTAAATAATAATAAAAACATTGTAGTTTACATAATTTTTCCTTCCCAAGTGAATAATATTCTAGATAAATTGAGAAAATGTAGATTATCATCTACTTTCCCATAACACTCAATACACAATTATCCTCCATTTTTCATGTGTAAACTAAAAATCTTAAGAAATTTCTGGAATGAGTCTATTTTTCCATTTTTTGACACTCTCAGGGAGCTTGTTAGATTTTTGTTTATCCTTGCAATAACATAGCTAAACATAAATAAATCTATATGTGCATATTCATTAGTATTTCATGGTACATGATCAACATATAGATATAAAGATTCATTTTGTTCATTTTCATTTTCTTTTATTCCTTTCAGAAATATCTATTATGTTTCAATTTCATTGTTTATTTAGCATATCTATTATATCCTCTCTGCTTTTTATTTAATTTGCCAGAAAGCATGTGTGCTCACTAGATAGAGACAGAGACAGAGAGAGAAAGAGAGAGAAAACACTCCCCATGGGGCATGGTCACACCACAATCCCTTCTCCATCTCTCTCTCCTTTCAGGATTTTGGGTAGGTACATACACCTAATGCATTTCTCAAGCTGCAGAGTCTGGACGCAAACTGTGCAATCCACTATATGGGATCCAGCCACCCCAATTACCAGGCCATGCACTGACACATTGCTGTTTTAGTTGAACTTTTTCTGCTTATTCTCAATTTTACTTCCCATATTTCTGAGTATTATAAGTAGTATGCCTTTTTGAAATAAGAATATTTAAAAATATTATGGTGACTTTTATTAGTTTTCTTCATTTTTTTGCTCTATTGTGTTAAATTATATTTTTGCTCTTTATTTTCAACTTGTTTTTACCCTCAAATATCACAAATTTTAATTTGGTTCATGGTTTCTTTCAAGTTTTTAGAAAATCTTAAAATAGAATTTTCTTCTCTTTTCTATAATAATTATTTTGCTTTTTATATATGTTTTATTTGTTTTGTCCCACTTAATGTTTACAAACTATATCTGGCAAATTCTATATCAAAACTTCTCTATTGGTTATTCATTTTTTAAATGGAGTATGTTCTATCAGGGCTTCTTCTTTGCTCAAAAATAATATACAAGAGAGAAAAAGAATGGAGGAAGACTGAACTGACACAAGAAGAAACTTTAATTCATTATGTACCTTTTAAAATCTTCTACTAAAATAGCCAACATCCTCTGCCCTGTAGGCATAATGTCTGTTAACTTGTTTACCTTCTCACCGGCCTCCCCCAATATCTGACCATTGTTTCCTTCAGAGTGAGCTGATTACATGGCCTGCATATGGCATAACTGCAGATTCCAGCTGTCTTAGTAAAACCCATTTTAGCTCACAGATCTTTTTTTTTATAATGTATTTTTAAACTCTGCTAAAAGAGATCTGGAAGCTGTTTCCTTTATGCTTTTACATCTACCTACTTTTACTATGCTTTTATTTTATGTTCGTTTGCTTCTTTTGATATTTAAAAGCAAAATCCAAGAAAAGAGATATGCCACAAATCCATGCAATTTGTTTGTTTGTATGTTTGCAATTTATTTACGTGAGGCTACTATTTCTTGTTTAAAATAGTGCATTTTTCAAATAAAAATCTTTACTTAATTTCCTTTATCATTATTCTTTTTTTGATTTGATACAGGGCATGAATGCTCACCAGATACACACATACAGAGAGAGTGAGAAAGCAAGTCACGAGGTCTGGGACTCAAACCATAGTTGGACAGGCAGGGGGTCTAGTGCCCTAAATCACCATGCCCCCTGGTCCCAAAATAGTGCATTTTTAAAATTTGACTTATCAGAATCACAGCATGAATTTTTAAAGAAAATATTAATTTACTCAATATGTAAGAAAACAATGCTTTACAAATTTACATGATACTTTAGTAGCCGACAGATAAAGAAACAGGTACTCTCATTTTACTTTTAAATGATAATGCCATATTTGCTATTGTGCACAGACCAATATCTCCTAATATGAGAGCTAATGTTTATTCCACTGATTATGTCTTTTCTCTCTCTCTCTCTCTCTCTCTCTCTTTTTTTATTTTTATTTATTTATTTTTTCCAGATAGAAGAGGTCACTTCTTCTCCCTGGAACCTGCAGCTGCTTTCTGAGCATGCTCCCTCCCAAGGCCTACATCAACATCTCCTTCTTCCAACCACCCGCCTTCCTCCTCATTGGCATCCCAGGACTCGAGGCTGCTCATGGCTGGATCTCCATCCCCTTCTCCTCCATGTACACTGTGGCCCTCACTGGAAACTGCCTGATCCTCCTGGCTATCAGGAGGACCCCCAGCCTGCACCAGCCCATGTACTATTTCCTGTCCATGCTGGCCCTCACTGATGTGGGCCTCACCTTGTCCACACTGCCCACTACCCTGGGTGTGCTCTGGTTTGACCATCGACTCATTGGGTTCAATTCCTGCTTGGTCCAGATGTTCTTCCTGCACTCCTTTTCTGTAGTGGAGTCCTCAGTTCTCCTGGCCATGTCGTTTGACCGCTTTGTGGCTATTTCCAACCCACTGCGTTATGCAGCTGTCCTCACAAATAATGTCATCATCAAGATTGGGCTGGCCATTGTGACTCGAGCCACTGTGTCCCTTGTTCCCTGGGCCCTTCTTGCTGAAGCGACTGAACTATTGCCCTGGCAAGATTATCTTGTCCCATTCCTTCTGTTTCCATGCAGATATCATGAAACGAGCCTGTGCTGACATTACTGTCAACATCCTTTTGGGACTATATATACTCCTATCCACAGTGGGTATAGACTCCCTGCTTATTGTCCTGTCCTATGTCCTCATTCTTCACACAGTAATGGGACTTGCCTCCCCAAAGGAACGAGCCCGGGCCCTCAACACCTGTGTGTCTCATATCTTAGCTGTCCTGGTTTTTTACATCCCAGTCATAGGAGTATCCATGATCCACCGTTTTGGGAGGTACCTACCCCCCATTGTACATGCCCTTGTTGCCTATGTGTACCTGGTAGTGCCTCCTGTGCTCAACCCCATCATCTACAGTGTCAAATCCAAGCCCATCAGGGAGGCCATGCTCAAGGTGCTGAAAAGGGTGGGGCACAGCTCATGAACTAAATAAATAACCATATGACCTGGGGAAAAAATAAGGCCAAACACTCATAGTTTATATCCAGAAAGCCTTTATTCAGAGCTCTGACCCATATTCTATCAAGAAAATGACAAGGAGGGCCTAGGCAGTGGTGGAGTGGTGACAAAAATGGACTCACATAGAAAATGTCTTCAGATAGCAACCCGGTAGTTCTCTGAACACACCAGAATGCATAGTTGTCCTTGACCAGGCTCGCTGAGACTGGAGATGGATGGCAGCATGAAGCCTCTGTTGGGGATCTCTCTCTCTCTCAACATACATAAACTTAAAAAAAAGAGCATGACAAGTGAATATTCTCATATTGCTGAGTATAGAACAGTCTTGATCCTTTTATGTAGCATGAAGATCCTCTTGGGATGCCCCTTTCTCAAAAAAATAACCTTAACAAAAAGAGTAAGATGAGTAAATGAATATTCTCAGATTGCTGGGTATAGAACAATCTTGATCCTTTTATGTCCTCATTAACTTCAGATATTTTATTCAGTGTTTATGTGTGCAACACTCTATGTGAATCAAAACAGAAATTAAAATGGGCCACACAAGGTCTCTCCACCCCTCAGAGAGCAGAACCCTGCAAGTATACAATTGTAACAAAGTGTAATGAGGTTATAGAGGCTAAGAAGTGTTTAGTGGCCCTTCAAGAGAAAGAATTTGGATAACAGCGCTGAAAGGTGCATAGGAATTTACAAACCTGGAGGAGGCAGATCAAATAAAGGAAAAACTGGAAAAAAGAAGACAGCTACACTGCAGAATAATTTGGTGTGCCTGTGTAAAAGCAAGTAGTCAAATATGGCTCAATACAAATCTGTGTCTGTTCTGGAGGGAGAGTAACAGGTAGTGAGTCAGAAATTATAGGCGGTGGAGAGATTTCTTGGTATTTTTCATGACTGATTGAAATATTCTGCATTTATTCTTTTTTTAATAGTCAGCCATTGATAGAGCCAGCAGATGGCATAACTATTATGTTGCTGGACTTCCACATGGTTCAAATCCCAGTCCCTGTGGCTTGAAACTCATGCCGCATGCTTGTGTGTGCATGCCCAAGATCTTTGGAGGAGAATGAAGAAGGAATTGCAGTGTGGCCATCCTCTGGGAGATGATTTCTCAATTTTCCTCTCACTAGCTCTGTTTCTCTCTCTGGTGAGCACACATGTCCTAAGGCAAAAACCTCTAAAAAAAAATAATAATAACAATAGTCAGCCATTGAAGACAACGGAACTGTGGAAAGTAACAGGCTTCACTGTACTATGGATTAGAAGGATGAAACTAGAGGTGAAACATGAGGCAAGAAACCCATTGAGGAGGAAGATATTACAATCTAGCAGAAAGAAAATAGAAGATTAGATTAAATTAGGGTCATCTGAATGAAAAAGTATAAGGGGGCTTCAAAAAGTTTATGGGAAAATCTGATATGATAATATTATGCATAGACTTCAAATTTTTTGCATCAATATAAACTCATACCCTAATTCCATTTTTTCATTAACCTTTTGAAGTCTTCTTATACAAGCATTTTTTTTGAAATTGTATGTCTATATTTTCTCTACCACAGAAAGTGCCCAGAGCAAAGCCTGCATGAGCAGTGAGCAGTTCTAGCACCAGCACTTGTTCCTAAATACAATTTCCCAGTGCAACAAACTGGAGGTCCTCGCAAAAAATGATTACTTCACAGCATGATATAAAGAAAACCTAGGTTATATTGAAATAGCTTGTGCCTGAACCAACAAAGGGCATGAAGACAACAGGACTGTGTAAGAAAACAGAAAGGACAGAAAAGTCCTTTGAAGGGCTACTCGTGACAAAAGTATAGTAAGTCTTGAACTTTGAAAATCATTGTTGACAGCCATCAATAATAAAAAATGCTAATGTCAGGGTGAGCAGGTGGCTTGGTGGTTAAGGCACTGGACTCGCACATGGCTGACCACAGTTCGAACCCCAGACCTGACAGCTTAAAAATCAAACTGGGTGCATATGTGTACATGCCCAAAATTCCAAAAGGAGGATGTTGAAGTGATTGCAGTGTGGCCATTCCCCCAGAGAGGGATTTCTCACTTTTCCTCTCTGTCTCTCTCCTGCAAACGCATATGCCCTAAAGTGAGGGAGGTAGGGAACCAATGTCTCTGGATATGTGCACTTTCAATCTTTACTCTGAAAGAGGCCGCACAGCAGCCATTTTCCTCACTGGCAGGGCACTGGCAGAAAGTGGAGGAGAAAAAAAGTGGAAACAGAATTCAGAAGCCAATGTTTGGAAAAGTAAGTGTTTACTTAAGATAGTTCTGCATTTTAAACCTTGGGGCCTCTTCATGGTTTCAAAGTAGTTCACAATTCAGAATAAAAAGAGGCATTTATTGTTGGAGAATCAAATCTTTAGATTAAAAGACACTACATCTTCCAAGATGGAAAAGAAGAAAAACGAAAAACCTCCCAGAAAACACATCTGCCCATGTTCATCTCTTCGTGTCATAGGACTCTTTATCTCCCATCTACTTCATCAGGTTACTCTATACATATTGCATACAAAAGAATAAAAATGTCACAATGTCCACAAGAAACAGATACAAACAGAAGGGTTGCTTGGACAACACAGGGGACAAGGAGAGAGTGGGAGAAATAGATACCACTACCCTGAGTTTCTGTCACTAGAGGGTGCTAGAAAGTGTTCTGTGTGACTCCAAATGGTCCAGGTGATATCAAACAGAAGCAGTACAGGAAAAGATTGAAGTAACAGTAATTATCATGCAGATGTAGTAGAATGGTTGTAATTCTCCAAGACCACAAAGAAGTAATTATTCTAGTCCTCCCTTCTCCTCCCCTGCTCTTCCCCTTCACAACTCATCCTCAAATAGCTCATTTGTCCTATATTTCTCCATTTTATCACAAATACCTCCACCACAACACATATTCCATTGCTCAGGGGGGAAAGAAAAAAAAAAAAAAAAGGCTCAGCAAATACCTTGATGTTTGGCCTGGGCATCCTTGGGGAGCAACAACTCACCAAGGCATTCAACCATGGTACAAACACAGTACTTCAGCTGAAGAGTCTTCTTGGGCTCCTTGAGAATGTGGAGAGGTGGGAAGGCTACAACAAGCAAGGTGAGTAATGGAAGCCTGGATATAATCTTTTCTACACCAAGGAGAAGGTTGAGGGCCTGCTCAGTGAGTCTGAGAAACTATCTCTGGCAGCTGCAGTCAGGAGCAAGAACAACTGAGCTGGGAGAGGAGCAGATGTCAGGAGCAGGAAGGGAAGTAGGAGGCCTGGACTTCCACAGATGGTAGGTCTAAGCCCCACACAAAGGAGAGAAAGTAAAAAGTCTGTTTTACTAAAGTAAAGATGTCTTACTTTGGATAACTTTCTAGAAACACAGACTGTGATCAAGCAGATTAGTAATCTTTGGTTTCTCTAAGCAGGGCAACAGTATAAAGGTGTCTTTTATTTAATTATTTATCTATTATACATGTAATCACTGTGTATCATTACAACATAACAAATGAATTTTCACATCATAAATACACTGCATATTGATCCAGTCAAAAATGTTACCATAAACATTATAATCAACAGATTTCTTTCTACTTTGGGTCCCTTAAATTAAGATCCCCTCTCAGGTAGCATCATGGATCTGAATGTTTACTTGGTATCTCAACTTTCACTATGAGATTTACTTTCACATTCTTCTGGATCAAGATCCTTTAGTTAGAGAAAGGACTTGGCTTTGGAATAAAGGCAAAAGAATAATAATAAATTTATGTTTTGTTACCAGGCAACCTGAATTTTGGAAACAGTCACAGGTTAACGGAATTCTGAATGTTAAAATGGAACTGATTTAAAGGTCATCCATGTGTTTTCTATTTCCTCTGGGGAGAGTCGTAATTTTCAAATTACTTTGACCCGTTAGTGTCCTGGAGATAATAATAAAAGAGCAAACCTAGCCCAATTGTCAGGATTAAGAGACTTAACATAATACTCTCTGACATCCTGAGTACTAGGAGACAGAGCATTGCAACTCAACTACTAAAATGGGCATTTTAGTAAAAGAATGAGAGCAAGAATGAAAATGATTATTTTACCATCCAGAATCATTTTCCAATGTTAGGTCCTCCATTATATTATAATAGTTACGATACATGAAGATAAATGGAAAGATGATTATCTGGACATGATGGACAAGATCATTTGATTACATAAGAGCTACTAATTATTTCTGGCAACCTGTCTAAGAAAGTGTCCCATAAATGTATACTTTCACTTCTCAGCATCTTACAATACTCAGCTCTACTTAGTATTTGAATCTTATACCAGATATAAAACAATAGACCAGGCAAATACAAAAAAAAAGAAAAAGAAAAAGAAAGGCAAGTTCTAAAATAAGGAATAAAAATTTCAAGTTTGAAATCTTGCATAAAAGATCTAGTGCACAATGAAAGCACTAGAACTAAGGCATGACTTTTAGGAAATGAAAACTCTCAGATTCCTGAAAATTTACTAGAAAGCACAAAATTTGCCTGGTAATCTGATTTAAATGACCAATGACAAAGAGAATGCTTCTTGTATTAATTCTATGGAAACCCAACTAATGCTGACAAAAAGCAACCATTCATTTTAATAACCTGAGGAAACCATTCTTCACTGTACACAAACTAAGTGTATATTATGAACATGGTCATGTAGAGGATGCTTTAAGAAGGGCAGGGGTAGATGGTAAATGGATTATAAAAATTAAACACTTGGAACAGCAGATAGTGTGATAGTTAAGGTGCTGAACTCCCACATGAGCAATGGTGGTTCAAGTCCTAGATCTGGCAGCTTAAAAATCACAGTAGGTACGGGACCAGCAGATGGCGTAATGGCTATGTTGCTGGAGTCTCATGTAGTAGACCATGGTTTGAATCCCGGACCCAGTGGCTTAAACTCACATCGGGCACTATGTGCATGTGCATGTGCATGCGTGCCCAAGATCCCAAGAGGAGAAGGGAGGAGAAAGGATTGCAGCATGGCCATCCCCCTGGGGGGTGAGTTCTCACTTTCTGTCTCTCTGTCTCTCTGTCTTTCTGACAAGCACACATGCCCCGTAACAAAAACCTCTCCAAAAAAAAAAATTGTATTTAAGCAGTCTTCAGTTCATTCACTTGTTCATTAGTTAATGAACAATCTCTGCAACAACACAAAGACAACAACAACAACAAAAAAAAAAGCAAGAAGCAAAACAAAGCAAAAAAAGTGTAAAGGTATTTTAAAATAATCAAAATCAGAAAAATTAAATTGAATGAAATTTCTGGAAAAAAAAAAGTGACTTGGATTAGTAAAAAATGAATCAGGGACCAGCCAGTGGCATAATGGTTAAGGCAACTAGGTCCCACATCGCCCACTGTGCAGTTCAAATCCTGGACCAGGCAGCTTGAAAAGCATGATAGGCATGTGTGAGTGCAAGCCCAAAATCCAGAAAGGAGAATGGAAGAGAAAAAATTGGAGCATAGCCATCCTCTTTGAGGATGCTTTTCCATTTGTCTGTATTGGAGAAGTGCATGCACCCTACAGTAAATTAAAAAAAAAATTGTTCCATTAAGTGAATACACTATACAGTAGAGAGAAAACAGTATAGAATTTTTCATATAAAACCACTAAATTCTTAGTATACCTCAGTGATGTAAGTTCTTATAGTTAGGGAAAAGTAAAACTATCCCTTATAAGCTGTATGAATTTTAACAAAATATTAGTTAATATATGCTGGAAGAGTTTAGAATAAGGACTGAGAAATAAAGAACAATTAGTGAAAAGCTACATAGTGTAACTAAATATCTACCGAATGTCAGCTTTCCTGAAGTATATTTCTGTCTTCCCAAAGAGAAAAGGTAACCTATCCCTGGAGCCCTCACTTCCTTCAGAGCATGCTCCCTCCCCAGGCCTACATCAACATCTCCTTCTTCCAACCAACTGCTTTCCTCATGACTGGCATCCCGGGACTCGAGGCTGCTCATGGCTGGATCTCCATCCCCTTCTCCTCCATGTACACTGTGGCCCTCACTGGAAACTGCCTGATTCTCCTGGCTGTCAGAAGGACCCACAACCTTCACCAACCCATGTACTACTTCCTGTCCATGCTGGCCCTCACTGATGTGGGCCTCACCTTGTCCACTCTGCCCACCACCTTGGGTGTTCTCTGGTTTGATCATCAGCTCATCAGCTTCAATGCCTGCCTGGTCCAGATGTTCTTCCTGCACACCTTCTCAGTAGTGGAGTCCTCGGTGCTCCTGGCCATGTCATTTGACCGCTTTTTGGCCATTTCCAACCCACTGCGCTATGCAGCCATCCTCACAAATGATGTCATCATCAGGATTGGGCTGGCCATTGTGACTCGAGCCACTGTGTCCCTCTTCCCTGTGCCTTTCTTGCTGAAAAGGCTTAACTTTTGCCCAGACAAGATCCTCTTGTCCCACACTTTCTGTTTTCACGCTGATGTAATGTGGCTAGCTTGTGATGACATCACCATAAATATCCTCTATGGGCTCTATGTGTTACTGTCCACAGTGAGCATAGACTCCCTGGCCATCGTCCTCTCCTATACCCTCATCCTGCACACAGTCCTGGGCTTGGCCTCTCCCAGAGAACGTGTTCGGGCCCTCAACACCTGTGTTTCCCATATCCTAGCTGTGTTTGTCTTCTTCATCCCAGTCATTACCATGTCTATAATCCACCGTTTTGGAAGGCACTTGCCTCCCATTGTACATGCCCTTGTTGCCTATGTGTACCTGGTAGTGCCACCTGTGCTGAATCCTATCATCTACAGTGTCAAATCCAAGCCCATCAGGGAGGCCATGCTCAGGGCACTGAGGAAGACAGTCTAGGACTGATCAGATGCAGGGTATCTGCAGGATGTGAGGCCTGAAAAAGAGGTTTGTAAACAAACATAAAATACAACTCCCGAGAAAGTCAAGTTCTACCTATAGCTAAGTTATGGATTTTGGAAACAGAGGTGTTAGACCATCAAAAAATTTGTTTTCATTTTTATTTACTTATTATCTCACATATTTTACATTATTTACCAGTTGCTACCTCTTGTTTTCAGATCTTACTCTAATAATTGGGAACATTAAAATGATTTAATACCTTGTGTTCAAAACTCACATTAGAGTATATATACAAAAATACACAAATATGGAAATATTTAGTACAGTTTAGAAAGTTTTTTGTTAACCTGTGCACATAGTGCATGATAAACAGAAAAAAAAGTTATTTAACTATCTGTACATTAGATCTATCAATATTTAACTACAAATAATTATAGCACTAAGCTTTTAACAGTGTGAAAATCATATTTGTAAAGTGATATATATCAAAATACTAATATATAGTAAATACCATAAAGATTTTGGACTTTTTATTGCATTTATTGTTTATTCATTCATTTGGACAAATATATCTTTGTGCCCATTTAAGGTTTTGAGGCCTCATAAATAAATAAAAAGCCTTTTTTCTCCCATTTGGACTTTCATACTCTATTGATGACAGGAAAAGAGTAGATAAGCAAGTACAATAACAAGTAACAAGTTACTGATTCAGAGTAAAGATGGGGGATAAGTAGAGAAAATAAAAAACAGGAGGAACACAGAGCTCAGGAGTGTTCTGGAGACTCTATCTGAGCTCTGAAAGAGGAATTAGGGAACATGCAATGTTACAGGAAAGTAAAGACACAGTAACGGGAGGGAACACGGCAACATGTGTAATGAGTGCACTGATTGTATGGGAGAAAGAGTAGTTAAGTGGGACACGAGAGAGTGAAGTGGCAGAGAACAAGGCTGCAGAAGAAGGCAGGGAACACACATCAGAACCTGCCTGAATACATGCTAGGGGAGTTGGCTGTGTCTTGAATATGAGCATCCATGGACCGTGTTCCAACCTCTAGGACAAATGGATTGTGAAGGAATCTTTGTACTTCACACAGCACTTCCTTTGACTTTATATTCTCCTGTGGATGTATGAGCAACCACTCCCTTAACAGAGAGGTTTTCCTTATATGTGTTCACTTTGTGGGAAGCTCTCCTACAAAGTCTTGATGGAGATTCCACAAGACACATCCTGTCTAACACAAAGACTCATCGCTGTGTTCCTCCAAGTTGTAGGGCCTGCTAAATCTGCTTAGAGTTGAGATAAAGCCTGCTTCAGAGCCCTCTCTTACTCTGGGCCCTGTTTAATATTTAGACTGCTAGCTAACATGGTTAATGGATCAAAGGATCACTGCGAAGTATACTGTGTCCTGTCTCTAAAATAAAAAGAAAGCTAATAGATACTGATTCCCTTTCTTGATGGGAGGAGGTACAAGGTAAAATATCTGTCTTTACTTTGCAAATTGTGTCCTGACAGCAATAAGACCAATGAACTTTTAAGAACATCTGTCTACTGAGGTATTCAGAATCCTGCTACATCCCAGGTTTCAAGATTTTGGTCAGCAAACTCAATTTAATCCTCAAACATGTTTTTTTTAGTTGTCTTAAATATCTTTCAGTGAATTGCATTTTTATTTCTATTATGTAACCAAGACTTCTTTTCTCAGAACCTATGATGTCTTCAATCCCATTAGTGTGACTCCAGGGTTGGCCATTTCTCCCTACTTCTACTCAATATAGAGATACTCTGTCTAAAAACTAAGTGGACAGCTTTATGAATATGGACAGAAATAAAGAAAATCTGCCTGATGTGGGAGTGACTGAAAACTCATTCTCAGAATATAAAACAGAAGGAATTATTTAAAGTTCAAGTATTCCATTTACCACTTGCCATTTAGATTAGAGCAGTGCCAATAGACGCAGCAACACACGTCATGCTTAAGAAAGTATATTATTGAAAGCATGTCTTAAAAACCCTGGGCTAGATAACTAAAGAGTTTCTGTATTCCTGAGTATTTAGGTTGCTCTTCTCACTAATCCCCCTGAGCTTTACTTTCTTCTCAGTACTCTCCCCAGACTGCTTACTTCTCATTGAATGTTTCCATCCTCAGGGGGGTAGCTGAAAGAGGATCAATTTCTCTGTATCCTTGGAGATGGGCTGCATTTCCCTGCACTGGCATAAAAGAATAGAATATTAGCTATAAGAGATCCCTAGGTTTCTATAGGATTTGGTACAACAGAGCACACTGGGTCAGCAGCCAAGGTAAGTAACCAGAGCCCAGACAAAAATCTTTCTCTATTTCCAGAATGCTGAAGGGTTCCTTTGTCACTCCCTCCTTTACTTTCCCAAGAGTCAAAATATAATTATAATGATAACCGAAGGCGTAAGTAGAGAGAAGTAAGGAGATCTGATGGTGATATTTCCAGTTGTGGCTCCCAAACCTACATGAAAAAACAGAGACCAATAAGTCTATCATTCTATTTATTCCATGGATAAAGTAGACCAAGGAAGGGATCAGTAGCCCAGATTCTGTGTCAAAGTAAGATGCCTACATTGGTGATCCAAAATGGTCATGGTTATGTGGTTAAAGGTCCTTTGGGGATGGAATTCCAGAAACAATACATAAACATTTATAATTGAAAACAGATAGCATGGTCCACAGATTTCTTAAGTGAATATTTCTTTATTCTTCATCGTGACTGAACTCCTATATTGTACTGTGTAGTAGTTAGGGTTCTCCAGAGGGAAAAAAATCAATGGACTCTGTGTGTGTGTGTGTGTCTACTTGTAGATAAAGACAGGAGAAAACAGATAGAGTTTTATTTTAAAAGAATGGCTTCTGTAATTGTTGGAACGGAGCTGTCTATAATCTGAAGGCAGGCTGGCAGCCTGGAGTCTCAGGGAACAGTTGATGTTAGAGTCTGAAGGTAATTGGAGCAGAATTCCTTCGTTTCTTGTAAGGACTTCTGCTGCTTAGATGATGCCCGCTTATGTTGTAGAGCGGAATAGCCTTCATTGAAAGTCCACTGTAGTAAATATTAATCATATATAAGCAAAAACCTTCATACTCATATGTACACTGACATTTGACCAAAATTTGGGGACCCTGGCTTAGCCAGGTTGATACATATAATGCATCTTCCTATGTAGCAAATTCTGTTCAGCAGAGCTTTGTCAATGTGAATACATCTTACTGTTTTGGAAAGATCAAAGTAGTTGAGACAACAGATACAAAAGGGATAGGCAAGACACTTGTGGGACACAGATAAGGTTTATTATCTGTTGATGAGGATGTATATGGTTGTCTCAACTCGGCTGGACTGAGGTGTATATCATGCTGGGTAAAGTCTCTTCACAATATAAATGGTGTATAGCTATTTAATGTATGAGGAAAAATTTAAAATGAAAACAATAAGATTTGAAACTAAACTTAAAAACCTAAAGAAAAATTTAGGTTTTAATTTGTAACTCTAATGAAAATATGTTTATTTCAGAAACAAGAAAAAATAAGAAATCCTTCTCTATAGGGTCATCAGGAAAATCATGGTGCATTTTTCTATGTTTTTCTATTAAAAAATGTGTCATGATTGCTCCCACCCAATAAATAAGTGAACAGGATTATTTGATGTGAATCAATTAACAGAAGAAAAGTCAAAATGCTTGTGCTTGGTGGGGATGAAACAAAAAGTGAGAGCAAGAAAATCTTTTTTCTTTTTAATGTTGATTTACTATTATTATTATTTTTTAATTTGCTATAGGGCACATGCACACAAAGAGAGAGAGAGAAGTGAGAAAGCAAGCCACTGGATCTGAAACTCGAATAGTGATTGTCCATGTGAGAGTCCAGCACTTTAACCACCACGCCACCTGCTGGCCCTGAGAGCAAGATAATCTAATAGGTTGGAGATTCAGAGAGATAAAAGCAGACCAAAGTGAAAAAGTCAAAAGTAAATGAGAACTATACTTCAAAAACACTGGATTTTGCAATCATAGGATGCAAGACACCAGAGGAAGAAAGCATAGTCCAGATCTTGATTTTGCAAAGGAGAAATTGAGGACCATGAGGATAAAATGAGCCAGACATTAAGTACAATATGTGGCAAACCGTTTATTTCAAGGAACAGAAATTTGTTGTCGAAACCAAGATTAAATTGTTGTAACATGTCTTCTGAATCAATATTTGATTTCTCCACCCCTAAATGCCTTCATATGTATCAGTGCAGAAACATCTACCTCACAAATGTGTTTCAGGGGTGAGGATAATATATTAAAGGTACTTCCGTTGTACATAGCAAATGGAAGTTACTAGCAGGATTGTTGAATTCATCGTTCTTCAAATCCAAACGGAATCCCTAATATGTGTCCCATTTGCCCAGCATCATAAATGACAGGTTGACAAAGATGACCCCAAACCTATCCTCTAACTCTCTGCATCAAGTGGAAATGCATTGTCCTGCTTCAGGCTCTGTGTTAGTGTTACTGTGGATCTAAGGGCAAACCCAATGGTCTCTTTAACTGAGGCTGTCTTGGGTGTTCTAGTACTAGAACCTTGTAAAAAAATTTTCAAGTGTCAGTAGCAAACTACAGCTATGTATTGATGGAGGGACACATGAAATGATTATGTAGTTCAGGGAAGTACAATTTGAGGGGTACTTAGGAAGATTAAAGTGGTTGAGACAACTGAAGAACTCTATAGGTGGAATAGCAGGAGAGAGGGTGCTGTAAGATGAGGGCAAAGATGTCAGCCAAGCAGTTGCTCAGGATTACAAAAAAAAAAAGAAGAAGAAGAAGAAAAAGAAGAAGAGAAGACACGATAAGACTATGAGCAATGTACTTAGCGACTGAACAAGGAGAGGGAGAGCATTGATGTAAGGTCCAGTAGACAGATAAAATGAATTGATGAGGAGACATTCATCTGCCTTAAACTTATGTAGTTCCTGTGATGACAAGGTTGTGTGGGCACATTTGTCTCCAGGCGTCCCCATCAGATTTCTTATATTAGGGCATAGAGAGATTCCTCCTTGTCATGATCAGGACCCACTGTTAAGAAACTTAACCAAACCCTTCTTGAAAATGTCTTCTATGTTCTGTCATCTGTAAGTAAAAGAAAAAAAAATGTGTCAAATTGACCCACGTGTGCAATGTGTGATGGCCTAGGATAGTGCCCCATTCACCTTCTTCATCCAAACTGGACTGTTCCTAATAGCTGAAGCCTAGGAGGCCACAGCTCATCTTTTACTTCCTTTTCTCTTATTCCATAATTTATTTATTGAAACAAACAAATGTTTATTTAGAATTTACTGTGATGCAGACACTCCACAATACAAGCATTACATGTTAGCAAAAATAATAATGATCATAATAAATAATATGGTTGCTACATTTGTGAGTCCTACAATCCAATGAAAGATACATAACAACATTCAAAAAAAAAACTATCATAAAATTTTCAAAACTGTGACTAGTACAAAGGTAATTAAAAATGTGTGGTGTAGTAATTGTGGATGGAGTATGTGGGAGTCATTCTGAAAGATTCTCAGGAACATGATACTTAATAACTGATACAAGGATTATAAAAAGGAAAATCCAGCCAATTTAATTTGATGGATTTTAATCTTAACTCTGAGCAAATCTTAGCAGGATTTGATCGGGCAGTTTTCCCAGACCAACTTCTGAGCAACTCCGAGTAATCTCATGATCAACACAGTATATTAAAGTTTGGAAAGGGAAAGTGACATACAAAAATGAAAGTGAAGGAATGAGGTAGAAAAACAATTTGGGTTGGTTACAGCCTGCCATTTTTTGTGTTAACATAGTTCAACAGGTAGAATACCTGTGTTCATCTGGAGGCTAGCTGGTATGATTGGCTGTAACCTAGGAACCAAGGGAAAAAAAATTAAGCCTTGTCTAAATGAGGTTACCGTTTGCTTATGGAAAACAAACAGGAGTACAGAGGCTTCTTCCATATTCTTTAACAGCATCAACCTTAAGGTATAATGAATATTTGCAAAATAGGTAAAATTTAGTCGTATTATAAAATGTTAGGCCAATTCTGTGTCTAAGAGAAGACAGCCAAAAAATAAATTTATGAGTTCTATGATAAAATTAAATAATCTGCATGGATATATTATCATAATACCAGAACTATAACATCATAGGGAATCAGTGAAGTTTTCCATTTTTCAAAAAAAAAAAATATCAGTGTGGTTTATTTATAAGTATGAATATGAGTGACTGACCCAGTGGAAGGCAAGCATGTCTTTCTCAGTTTATTCAGATACTGTGGTTCCTTTTATTTGATTTTGAGAGCAAGAGACAATTAGCAAAGAGTTTTTCCATTTTTCTGGACCAAAAAGATGGGACATCTGGAAGTGGGGGATTATAGATTATAGATTATAGGTGGGTCCTACCATTTTTAGGTTGGTGATTGGAAAGGAAGATCCCTGTTCAGGAAGAGATCAGCAAAAGAATGTACTTTAACAAAGATGAAGAGGCTTAGTAGACATTGCAAAGATACTATGCCAGGGACAGGATGTATGAAGGGTCTTTTTTAACAAGGACTCTGTTAATGTTTGGGGAGTGACTTCCCCCAGATCCTCTGGAAATGATTTTGAAAGTAGGAAAAAGCAGTGAGACTTTGCTCCTCAGTTCCCCCTATTGGTCAAATATCATTCCTCCAAATGCATGTGTAGCCTATAAAATTGATAAGTCCTAGGGCGCTAGGAAAGCTCATTCCTAGAACTGGTCCATTTGTTAATGAGAAGTCCACAGCACTAGGAAGGCTCATTCCTACAAGTCAATTCCATGGCGCTAGGACAGCTCATTCTTGGTAGTTCATCAGTCATTCATTCTGACAGTCAGTAGAGTCCGGAAGGAAAGACATGTCTGACTGACTCATTAGCCATTTATCTCTGGGCAAAGGAAGGAATCAGACTTCAAGGTTCAGTTGGAAAAAAAAAAATCCTGGATTAGATTTATGTTATGTGCTATCATATTCTAAGTTTTTTATTATGTTTTTAATTTATTTATTTACATTCATTCATTATAGAATACAAAATGAGATTTTTCATCCATTATATACTGTATATTGGCTCAATCAAGGATATTACCACATGTGTTATCATCAACAAATAATTTTCCATTTCTTGTCTCTTATGTATTTTGTTTTTTTATTTTTCCCCTTGATTCCCTACCTCTCACTCTCTGCCATTTCTCACTCTCCTTCCACATTGTTTCTAATATCTACAGTTGCTTTCCATGCCTTTTTTTCATATTTTGATTTACAAAAGTTCTCAATTAGTCTAAATACTTTCAATAGGAAGTGCAGCAGATATATACATATCTATGAACACATGTCTGACTTTAGTCATAAAGCTCAGTGAGTAGAATGAACATACTTCAAAGTAGCACTCATTTGAGGCTATATAGCTTACTTTAGTCAGAGGCATTCTGCAATCTCTCTACAGTTCTGTTTTCTCCCTTTGTGCACCTGATTGCATGGGAATTGAGGATTAGTCTGACCTAGATCTTGGAGTCAGGAGGATAAAGTCTGGGCAGAAAATCTTCAGTTTTTCCTAGTCCCTGAAAGGAGCCAGTCAGAGCTCAAATGTAGATGACTTGTGCTTGACTTTCCTACTAGATCTTTGGGTCAGGAGAGTGAATTGTGGGAGGAAAATCCTCAGTTGTCCTAGTCCCTGAAAGGGGCTGCTCAGAACTCAAATGTAGATAACTTGATATTGGTCTTTATACTAGATCTTGGGGTCAGGAGGATGAAGTCTGGGCAGAAAATCTTCAGTTGTCCTAATTCCTGAAAGAAGATACTCCAAACTCAAATGAAGATGCCTGGTCATTGGCCTTTCTAGATTTTGGGGTCAGAAGGGTGATTATGTTCTTTTAAGATATGTTTGCTCTCTAGCTGTGGTTTCAAAACACATTTCCAAATGCCAAGTCCACAGAGAATTTTCTGATAGTAAATGCTTTATTCTGAAGTCCCCGTTCAGGTGTCACTTACTGCTCATCTGAAAGGTAAATTGAAGCAAAATGTTTTTAAACAATCTTATTTGGGCAAAAGGTTAAGGACTGTATTAGGATAAAGATATTAGTATAATTTTTAAGTATTCAAGTCTTTTAAAAAGGTATTCAAATTTCTCACATAATTAAAGAAAACAAAGCAAGAACTATAAATAGAGCAGAGCTTTCTTTTTAGAAAACATTTGTTTGTATGACTATGTTATTAGGCATGTTAGCATGGGAACACACCTCCTCCATGCCATCCCAGCTCTATTTGGTCAAGGTTCACACCAATGACTCCATTCTGATTTTTGAAAACATTTCAATTTCCCCAGTTGATCATGATCTTTCTCTGTGTCTTCATTCAATCATCTTATGGTTACTTTGATTGTCCCTTGATGCCAGAATGGACCTGTCCTGTTATTATCTTCCAGCAAGGGGAAATGATTGGTTAGGAGTCTGTGTCAAAATATAAGAAAAGAAAAAAGAAAGAAAGAAACTCTTTTGGCCATATTTGAGCAAGAGGGGAAGATTGGAATGAGTGGCTCTCAGGCCAAGTCTAACTGAAGTCTATTGATCTTAAAACTCAGGAGCCTGTATTTAAAAGTTTTTAGTCTTTTTCTTTGGGAAGCAATTTTTAGAAATGTGAATGGCAAAAGCAGTTCATTACAGTAATGAAGTATTGGGTTATCTAGTGTCATGACACCATTTGCATAGAAAAAAATGTCATAACTTCTCTAACAACCCAATAAATAACAAAACAATTTAGCTATTTATATTGTACACAGCATTTTAAGATAACAACCAGAATTATACTGATAACATCATATCAGGACTATAAACTTTCATAAAATTTATAATTGTGATTACATTGATAACAATAACGTATTTATGAAAAAATAACCAAGAAGACTTATGAAATTGGTAGGCACTGCTTCTCATATCAATTGAAGTCTATACAAAATAAGGAAAATAGTCTTTGAGGTTTTCTAAGGTCCCAACTAGAAAACCCAAGGTAAAAAAATATTTAATTTAGAATTTGATCTTGGAGAATCATGTTAAAGATGTCAGAAAACTTATCAGTGAGGTTTTAACAAGAGTCATTATTCTATTTACACACATACCAGTAAATAATAAAACTAACTTATAAACTTAAATTTTAGGCTTTTCATTATGTTAGATCTCTATATTTTTATCATCTAGATCTTCTTAGTGTACCCACAGATTATAGAACCACAATCCACTGGAGCTCACAGCTGACTTTCAAGGATGCTACTTCCTCACTCCTACATCAACATCTCCTTCTTCCAGCCACCTGCTTTCCTCCTGATTGGCATCCCAGGGCTCGAGGCTGCTCATGGCTGGATCTCCATCCCCTTCTCCTCCATGTACACTGTGGCCCTCACTGGAAACTGCCTGATCCTCCTGGCTATCAGAAAGACCGCTATCTTGCACCAACCCATGTACTACTTCCTGTCCATGCTGGCCCTCACTGATATGGGTCTTACCTTGTCCACTCTGCCCACCACACTAGGTGTTCTTTGGTTTGACCATAGGCTCATTGACTTCAATGCTTGCCTAGTCCAGATGTTCTTCCTGCACACCTTCTCAGTAGTGGAGTCCTCGGTGCTCCTGGCCATGTCATTTGACCGCTTTTTGGCCATTTCCAACCCACTGCGCTATGCAGCCATCCTCACAAATAATGTCATCATCAGGATTGGGCTAGCCATTGTGACTCGAGCCACTGTGTCCCTCTTCCCTGTGCCATTCTTGCTGAAAAGACTGAACTTTTGCCCAGACAAGACCCTCTTATCCCACTCCTTCTGTTTTCACCCTGATGTGATGAGACGAGCCTGTGATGACATCACTATAAACATTCTCTATGGGCTCTATGTTGTAGCATCCACAGCAAGCATAGACTCCCTGCTCATCGCTCTGTCCTATGCTCTTATCCTGCGCACAGTCTTGGGCCTGGCCTCCCCCAGAGAACGTGTCCGGGCTCTCAATACCTGTGTGTCTCATATCTTACGTGTACTGGTTTTCTACATCCCAGTCATAGGTGTGTCCATCATCCACCGTTTTGGGAAGCACCTGTCCCCCATTGTACATGCTCTGGTAGCCTATGTGTACTTGTTGGTTCCACCTGTGCTCAACCCCATCATCTACAGTGTCAAATCCAAGCCCATTAGGGAGGCCATGCTCAAGATATTGAGAAAAAAGGGGCAAGGCTCATGAACTCAAAAAGAATGATAAGACATGGGGGAAAACATAGCCAAACACTCCTGTCTTATACTCAGAAAGTCCTTCTTCTGAGCTTTGACCTGGACGCTGTCAAGAATATGACAAACAGAAGCCATGCAATGGCACTGTGGTAATGCAACTAGACTCACTTGAGAAAGGTCCTGGGTTCACATCTTGGCACTTCGTCAAGCACAACAGATTAACTGTGTTCCTGTGAAAATGCAGCTGAGACTGGATGTGACAAACCCATTGTGGGTACCTCTTTCTCTTTCTGACTGTCTTTGTTTTTCTCTCTCACTCTGTTCCTCCAATCTTATCAATAAACTTTTAAAAATATATTATAACAAGGAAAAAGTTACACTCAAGTTGCTTACTAAAAAACAGTCTTGATTCTTCCAAGTGCTCACTAACTTCAAATATTTTCTTCGGTATTTTCTTATAAAATAAATCCATACTCATCAGAAGATAAATGTAAATAGATCCCAAATGGGGGTGCTTTCCATACATTGGAGGGCAGAATAGTGTTAATGCAGTTATAGCAAAGTGTAAATATGCTGTGGTTGTTATACACAAAGTGCTATAAGAGCTCAGAAGAGAATTTATTGGCCCTAAAATGAGAAAAGATTGAGACGAAGAGTGCTAAAGGGAACAGGAATATGCCAGTCAGACGGGTGTATATTTAATGAAAGGAAATTAATGCAAAAAATAATTTGTGAAAAATGAGCTTATGAAAAAAGAAGTAGTTGAACATGGTTCAGAATAATTTGTGTATCTATGAATTAGAGGGAGAAGTTCAAGAAATAAGTTAGAAATGATAGTGGAAATGTTTGTTGGGGCCTTTTAAATCTGATTGAAACTTTTGGCTTTCATCAAAGGATACAACATCATAAATGAAGAATACCTACTAAATGCTCAAATTCAAACTAGTCACAAGGACACAATGAAAAAAAAACAAAACAGAAAATAGGAAAGAATACACTCAAACGTGCACAACATGGCCTAGAATCTTTTTAAAAATGCGGAATAGTATTCCATGGAGTATATGTGCCCAAGTTATCAATGCATTCATCTCTTCGTGGACATTTGGGTTGATTCTCTGTCTTAGTAATCGTGAATAAAGCTGCAATGAATATAGATGTGCAAGTGCTTTTCTGACTGAGTGCTCTCCTGTCCTTTGGGTAGATACCAGTAGTAGAATTGCAGGATCATATGGTAGTTCCATCTGAAGGTCTTTGAGGAACCTCCAAATCGTTCTCCACAGTGGCTGGAATGTGGGACACAGATAAGGTTTATTATCTGTTGATGAGGATGTGTATGTTGGTCTCAACTGGGCTGGACTGAAGTGTATATCATGCTGGGTAAAGTCTTTTCACAATTTAAATTATGTATAGCGATTTAATCTATGAATAATAATAAAAAATGCATAAAAATAAAATAAATTTAAAAATGCAATGTTATCTCATTAAGGACAACAATTATATGTAAAACAGAAATGATAAAATAAAAATAAATAATTTCTAATATTGTGATATGATCCCAGAGAATTTGTTTAGGCCCTCAACACCTGTGTCTCCCATATCCTGGCTGTGATTGTCTTCTTCATCCCAGTCATTACCATGTCTATAATCTACTGTTTTGGAAGGCACTTGCTTCCCACTGTACATGCCCTTGTTGCCTACGTGTACCTGGTGATGCTGCCTGTGCTGAATCCCATCATCTACAGTGTCAAATCCAAGCCCATCAGGGAGGCCATGCTCAGGGTGCTGAGGAAGAAAGACTAGGACCAGTCAGATGCAGGATGTCTGCAGGGCTTGGGCCAGATAAATAGGTTTGTAAATGAAAATAAAACACAACTCCTGAGGAAGTCAAGTTATACCCATGGCTAAGGTACAGGTTTTTGGAAACAGAGGTGTTAGACTATCATTAAAATTGTTCATTTTTATTTACTTATCTCACATATTTTACATTATTTACCAATTGCCAACTCTTTTTTTCAAGTCCTATACTAATCATTGGGAACATTAAAATGATTTATAAATTGCCTTGTGTTCAAAACTCACATTTGAATGTATATACAAAAATACATAAATATGGAAATATTTGGTACAGTTTAGTAAGCTTCCTGTTAAAGTGTGTGCATAGTGATTGGTGAACAGAAAAAGTTATTTAACTGTATTCTTTAGATCTATCTAGAGTTAACTACAAATGATTATATTACTTAGCTTGTAACATTGTGAAAATCAGTATTTGTAAAGTAATATATATCAAAATATTAATATCTAGTAAACACTGTAAAGATTTTGTGCTTTTTTATTGCATTTATCATTTATTCATTATTTGAACAAAAGTATCTTTGTGACCATTTAAAGCTTTGAGACACCTCATAAAAACTAAAAAGCCTTTTTTTTTGGAGAGGGCATGTGCACTCATCAGACAGACAGGGAGAGACAGAGAGACAGAAAACGAAAAATCACTCCCCCAAGGGGGATGGCTACACCGCAATTCTTTCTCCTCCATTCTCCTCTCGGGATCTTGGGCACGCATGCATATGCGCCCGGCATGAGTTTTAAGCCACCGGGTTCGGGACACAAACCGCGGTCGACTACGTGGGAGTCCAGCAACATAGCCTTTACGTTAACTGCTGTTCCTGCCACTTTATTTTTTGATAATTGAGAGTTTCATAGTCCATTGCTTACAGGAAAAAAGTAGATAAGTAAGCACAGTAACAAATAACAAGTTACTGATACAGAGTAAAGATGGGAGGTGAGTAAGGAAAATAAAAAATAGAAGGAGCTCAGAGCTCAGGAGTATTCTAGAGGCTCTATCTGAGCTCTGAAAGAGGAATGAGGAAACATGCAATTTTACAAGAAAGTAAAGACACAGTAACGGCACCGTGTGTAATGAGTGCATTGATTGTATGGAAGAAAGAGTAGTTAAGTGGGACGAGAGAGAATGAAGTGGCAGAGAACAAGGCTGCAGAAGAAGGCAGGGATCACACATCAGAACCTGCCTGAATACATGCTAGGGGAGTTGGCTGTGTCTTGAATGTGAGTATCCACGGACCATGTTCTAACCTGTAGGACAAATCATGAAGGAATCCTTGTACCTCGCACAGCACTTCCTTTGACTTTATATTCTCCTGTGGATGTATGTGCAACCACTCCCTTATCAGAGAGGTTTTCCTTATATGTGTCCACTTTGTGAGAAGCTCTCCCACAGTCTTGGTGGAGATTCCACAAGACATGTCCTGTCTAACATAAAGACTCATCACCGTGTTCTTCCAGGTTGTAGGGCCTGCTAAATCTGCTTAGAGTTGAGATAAAGCCTGCTTCAGAGCCCTCTCTTACTCTGGGCCCTGTTTAATATTTAGACTGCTAGCTAACATGGTTAATGGATCAAAGGATCACTGCGAAGTATACTGTGTCCTGTCTCTAAAATAAAAAGAAAGCTAATAGATACTGATCTCCTTTCTTGATGGGAGGAGGTAAAAGGTACAATATTCTGTCCTTACTTTGCAAATGGTGTTTTGACAGCAATAAGACCAATGAACCACTAAGAACATCACTGACATTGCAGGCTACTGAATTGTGAGGACTGTCTAACATTGTGTGGGGGGAAAGGCTATTAAAATAATTGGGTTTAGGTTATTGATGGTGTAATATGAAATAAAATATTTATCTGTCTACGGAGCTATTCAGAATACTACTACATCCCAAGATTCAACACTTGGATCAGCAAACTTAATTTCATCCTCAGACATGTTATTTCCATGTCTTTAAAGATCTTTCAGTGAATTGCATTTTTATTTCTATTATGTAACCAAGACATTTCTCAGAACCTAGGATATCTTCAATCCCATTAGTGTGACTCCAGGGTTGGCCATTTCTCCCTACTTCTACTCAATATAGAGATACTCTTTCTAAAAATTAAGTGGACAACTTTATGAAGATGGACAGAAATAAAGAAAATCTGTCTGATAGGGGAGTGACTGAAAACTCATTCTCAGAATATAAAACAGAAGGAATTATTTAAAATTCAAGTATTCCATTTACCACTTGCCATTTAGATTAGAGCAGTGCCAATAGATGCAGCACCACACGTCATGCTTAAGAAAGTATATTATTGAAAGCATGTTTTAAAAACCCTGGGCTAGATAATTAAAGAGTTTCTGTATTCCTGAGTATTTAGGTTGTTCTTCTCACTAATCCCCCTGAGCTTTACTTTCTTCTCAGTACTCTCCCCAGACTGCTTACTTCTCATTGAATGTTTCCATCCTCAGGGGGTAGCTGAAAGAGGATCAATTTCTCTGTATCCTTGGAGATGGGCTGCATTTCCCTGCACTGGCATAAAAGAATAGAATATTAGCTATAAGAGATTCCTAGGTTTCTCTAGGATTTGGTACAACAGAGCACACTGGGTTAGCAGCCAAGGTGAGTCACCAGAGCCCAGACAAAAATCTTTCTATATTTACAGAATGCTGAAGGGCTCCTTTGTCACTCCTTCCTTTCTTTCCTTAGAGAAGAGTAAAATATAATAATAATGATAACCAAAGGCATAGGTAGCGAGAAGTAAGGAGACGTCATGGTGGTAATTTAGTTATAGGTCCCAAACCTACATGGAAAAAAAGAGAGAGAGAGAGAGACCAATAAGACTATTGTTCTATTTATTCCATGGATAAAGTAGACCAAGGAAGGGATCAGTAACCCAAACTCGGTGTCAAAGTAAGATGCCTACATTGGTGATCCAAAATGGTCATGGTTATGTGGTCAAAGGTCTTTTGGAGCTGGAATTCCAGAAACAATATACAAACATTTATAATTGACAACAGACAGCATGGTTCACTTATTTCTTAAGTGGATTTTTTTATTATTATTATTCATCACGAGTGAATTCTTGAATTGTACTGTGTAGTAGTTAGGATTCTCCAGAGGAAAAAATCAATGGACTCTGTGTGTGTATGTGTGTCTATTTGTAGATAAAGACAGAAAAAAGAGATTCATTTTAAAGGAGTGGCTTATGTAATGTTGGGACTGAGCTGTCTGTAGTCTGCAGGCAGGCTGGCATCCTGGAATCTCAGAGAACAGTTGATGTTGGAGTCTGAAGGTAATTGGAGCAGAATTCCTTCTTTTCTAGTAAGGACTTCAGCTGCTTAGATGATGCCCACTTATGTTTTAGAGTGGAATAGCCATTATTTAAAGTCTACTGAAGTAAATATTAATCATATATAGACCAAAACCTTCATAGTTGTATGTACACAGGTATTTGACCCAAAACTGGGGACCCTGGCTTAGCCAGGTTGACACATATAATAATGCATCATCCTATGTAGCAAATTCTATTCAGCAGAGCTTTGTCAATGTGAATACATCTTACTGTTTTGGAAAGATCAAAGTAGTTGAGACAACAGATACATCAGAAATTCCTCTCTATAGGGTCATCGGGAAAATCATGGTGTATTTTTCTGTTTTTCTTTTCTTTTTTTTGTACTATTTTATTTAACTTTATTTATATATCTACTTATTTTTTTCTTTTTATAAAATTTAATTTACATTTTATCACATCTTTACCATGTACATTTCTTTTTTCAACACACATACCATGCATGTCAGTCAAGACAAGGATATTACTATATACATTATCTTCATCAGGTAGCTTCTCATTTTTTTCAGTTAAGCATACTTTTACCCATTTTTTCTTTCCCTTTCCCCTCCATCCCTTCCATACTTAACTTTTTTTCTTTACATTTTATTGATTTACAAAAGACACTAAAGTATGGGCAAAGCTAGAATCTAGTGACAAATGCACTGCAATTTTCTTCTGAAACAATTATTTTTTCTCTGTGTGTCATGATTTTCTCAATGACCCAATAAATAAGTAAACAGCATTATTTGATGTGAATCAATCAACAGAAGGAAAGATGAAATGCTTGAAGTTGGTGGGGATGAAACAAAAAGTTGAGAGCATGAAGATCTTTTTATTTAATTTTTATTAATTATTATTATTAAATTTGTCATAAGGTGCATGCATTCAACAAAGAGAGATAGTGGGAAAGCAAGCCACCAGGTCTGAAACTCGAATCATGATTGGTCATGTGGGAGTCCAGCACCTTAACCATCATGCCACCTCCTGGATGGAGAGAGCAAATAAATCTTAATGGTAGGAGATTCAGAGAGATAAAAGTAGAGCAAAGTGAAGAGATGAGAAAGTAAATGAGAACTATATTTTTAAAACAATGGATTTTGCAATCATAGGATACAAGACTTCAGAGGACAGAAAACATAGTTCAAATCCCTGATTTTGCAAAGGAGAAATTGAGGACCATGAGGATAAAATGAGACAGACACTAAGTACAATATCTGGCAGTTTATTTCAAAGAACAGAAGTTTGTTGTCAAAACCAAGATTAAATTGTTGTAGCATGATTTCTGAATCAATATTTTATTTCTTCATTCCAAAATGCTTTCATATGTATCAATGCGGAAACATCTACCTCACAAACGTGTTTCAGAAGTGAGGATAATATATTAAATGTATTTCCATTGTACATAGCAAATGGAATTACCAGAAACAAGCAGGATTGTTGAATTCCTCATTCTTCAAATCCAAACGGAATCCATAATATGTGTCCCATATGCCCAGCATCATAAATGTTAGGCTGACAAAGATGATCCCAAAACCTCTCCTCTCACTCTCTGCATCAAGTGGAAATGCACTGCCCTGCTTCAGGTTCTGCATTAGTGTTACTGTGGATCTGAGGGCAAACTCAATGGTCTCTTTAACTAAGATTGTCTCAGGTATTCTAGTTCTAGAATCTTGCAAAAATGTGCATTCAAGTGTCAGCAGCTATGTATTGATGGAGGGACACATGAAATGACTGTGCAGTTCAGAGGAGTACAATTTGAGGGGTACTCAGGAAGATTAAAGTGGGTGAGACAACTGGAGAAGTCTATAGAGGGAAGAGGAGGTGAGACGGTGCTGTAAGATGAGGACAAAGATGCCAGCCAAGCAGTTGTTCGACATAAACATAAAAGAAATGATGAGAGTATGAGCAACGTACTTAGTGACCGAACAAGGAGAGGGAGAGCATAGACGTAAGGTCCACTAGACAGATGAAATGAATTGATGGGGAGACATTCATCTGCCTTAACCTTATGCAGTTCCTGTGATGACAAGGCTGTGAGGGCACCTTTGTCTCCAGGCATCCCCACCAGACTTCTTATAGCAGGGCACAGTGAGATCTAAATATTTGAGATTCCTCACTGACATGGTAAGGACCTATTGTTCACTAATCCCTTCTTGAAAATGTCTTCTGTCACCTATAAATACAAAACAACCTGTGTCAAATTCACCCATGTGCGCAATGTGTGATTGCCTGAGACAGGGTCTCATTCTCCTTCCTCATCCAAACCTGCCTGACCCAAACATCTGAAGCCTGGGAGGTAACAGCTCATCTTTTATTTTCTTTTCTTTTATGAGTTACAAATTTGACTGTTTATTCCATAATTTATTTATTGGAACAAACAAAAGTTTACTGATAATTTATTGTGATGCAGGCACTCCCCAATACAAGCATTACATATTAGCAAAAATTGTTAAATTAAAATTATTTTTAGACAACATGTACACATGTCACTATGTTATTAGGCATGTTAACATGAGAACACCCGTCCTCCATTGCCTTCCCAGCTTGATTTAGTCAGGGTTAATGCCAAAGACTCTCTTCTGATCTTTGAAAACATTTAAATTTCCCTCGTCGATCATGATCTTTCTCTCCATATCCACTCAATCATCTTATAGTAACTTTGATCAGATTATCTTACATCAAAGGGAAATGATTGCCTAAGAATCTGTGTCAAAAAAAGAAAAGAAAAAAAGCAACACTTTTGGCCAGATATGAACAATAGGAGAAACTTGGAGTGAGTGACTTTTGGTCCTACATAAGTATCATAAGTCAATTGATCTTAAAACTATCAGGAGCCTGGGACCAGCAGTTAGCATAATGGCTATGTTGCTGAACTCCCATGTTGTCGACCGCAGTATGAGTTCCAGACCCGGTGGCTAAAACACACCAGGCGTGTGTGCGTGCGTGCCCAAGATCCCAAGAGGAGAATGGAGGAGAAGGGATTGCGGCATGGCCATCCCCCTGGAGGACGATTTCTCACTTTCTGTGTCTCTGTCTCTCTGTCTTTCTGGCAAGCACATGTGCCCTATAGCAAAAACTTCTCAAAAAAAAAAAAAACTATCAGGAGCCTGTATTTAAAAGTTTTTAGTCTTTTTCTAAGGGGAACAATTTTTAGAAATGTAATGGCAAAAGCAGTTCATTATAATAATAAGATGATAAGTTGTCTTGAGTCATGATACATTTTGCATAGAAAAACATGTCATGACTTTCCCAACAACCCAATAAATAACAAAACAATTTAGCTATTTCTATTGTACACAGTATTTTAAAATAAAAATCAGAATTATACTGACAGCATCATGTCAGTACTATAAAATTTCATAAAATTTATAATTGTAAATACACTTATACCAACAACATATTTATGTAAATATAACCTTGAGGAAAGCTTAGTAAATCAGTTAGCACTGCTCCTCATATAAATTGTTATATTACATAAGTCTCTACAAAATATGAGAAATACTTTTGAGGTTTGCCAGGACTCAATTGGAAAACCTAAAAGTCAAATTTTAGGTAAAAAATGTTTTATTTAGAATTTGATCTTGATAAAACATGTCAAATATATCAGAAAACTTAGTGAGGTTTTGACAGCTGTCACTGTTCTATTTACACATACCAGTAAATGATAGAACTAACTTAAAAACCTAAATGTTAGACTTCTCATCATGTTAGAGCTCTCTTTTTCATCACCCTTGATCTACCTAGTGTGTTCACAGATTGAAGAACCACCACCCCCTGGACCTCGCAGCTGACTTCCAAGAATGCTCCTTCCCCGGTCCTACATAAACATCTCCTTCTTCCAGCCACCAGCTTTCCTCCTAATTGGCATCCCAGGGCTTGAGGCTGCTCATGGCTGGATCTCCATCCCCTTCTCCTCCATGTACGCTGTAGCCCTCACTGGAAACTGCTTGATCCTCCTGGCTATCACGAGAACTCCCAGCCTGCACCAGCCCATGTACTACTTCCTGTCCATGCTGGCCCTCACTGATGTGAGCCTCACCTTGTCCACACTGCCCACCACCCTGGCTGTGCTCTGGTTTGACCATCAGTCTATTGGCTTCAACACCTGCCTAGTCCAGATGTTCTTCCTGCACACCTTCTCTGTAGTGGAGTCCTCGGTGCTCCTGGCCATGTCATTTGACCGCTTTTTGGCCATTTCCAACCCACTGCGCTATGCAGCCATCCTCACAAATAATGTCATCATCAGGATTGGGATAGTCATTGTGACTCGAGCCACTGTGTCCATCTTCCCTGTGCCCTTCTTGCTAAAGCGACTGAACTTTTGTCCAAACAAGACCCTCTTATCCCACTCCTTCTGTTTTCACCCTGATGTGATGAGGCGAGCCTGTGATGACATCACCATAAACATTCTCTATGGGCTCTATGTTGTAGCATCCACAGCAAGCATAGACTCCCTGCTCATCGCTCTGTCCTATGCTCTTATCCTGCGCACAGTCTTGGGCCTGGCCTCCCCCAGAGAACGTGTCCGGGCTCTCAATACCTGTGTGTCTCATATCTTAGCTGTCCTGGTTTTCTACATCCCAGCAATAGGTATGTCCATCATCCACCGTTTTGGGAAGCACCTGTCCCCTATTGTACATGTCCTGGTAGCCTATGTGTACTTGTTGGTTCCACCTGTGCTCAACCCCATCATCTACAGTGTCAAATCCAAGCCCATTAGGGAGGCCATGCTCAAGGTATTGAGAAAAAAGGGGCAAGGCTCATGAACTCAAAAGGAACGATAAGACATGGGGCAAAAACATGGCCAAACACTTCTGTATTATATTCAGGAAGTCCTTATTCAGAGCTTGACCCAGACGCTATCAAGAATATGGCAAACAGAAGCCATGCAATGGCAGAGTGGTAATGCAGCTGGATTCACATGAGAAAGGTCCTGGGTTCACATCTTGGCACCTCCCTAATCACACCAGATTGTGTGTGTTCGTGTGATCTGTTTCTGCTGACACTGGATGTGACAACCCCATTGTGGGTGCCTTTTTCTCTCTCTGACTGTCTTTGTTTTTCTCTCTCACTCTGCTCCTCCAATATGATAAGTAAATAAGCTTTTAGAAATATAGCATAAAAAGCAAATAATTACACTCAGATTTCTGGGTATAGAACAATCTGGGTCCTTCTAAACTCTCACTAATTTCAAATGTTATATTCAGTGTTTACTTACTTTAAAAAAAGTCCAGACTCATCAGAAGATAAATTTAAAAGGACCCCAAAGGGTGGTGTCTTCCATCCATTGGAGGGCAGATTAGTGTTAATGCAGTTATAAGAAGGTGTAAATAGACCGTGGTTAGACACAAAGTGCTATAAGAACTCAGAAGAGAATTTATTGACCAAAAAGTGAGAAAAGATTCAGACAAGAAGGATTAAGGGTGAAGAAGAATGCCAGTCTGATGGGTGCATACTTAATGAAACGAAATTAATGTGAAAATAAAACGTGAAATATAAGATAATTTGGTGAGTTTATGGAAAAGGAAGTAGTCAGACATGGCTCAGAATAATTTGTGTGTATGAATTGAAGGGAGAAATACTAAAATAAGCTAGGAATGATAGATAATAGAGGGGTTTGTTGGGGTCTTTTAAATCTGATTGAAACTTTTGACATTCATCAAAGAATACACCATCAGAAATTAAAAATTCCTACTAAATATTCAAATTCAATTAGCCAAGAAGACAGAATGAGAAAAACTCAGAAAATGGAAAAGAATGCACTCACACATGCACAACATGGCCTAGAATCTTTTAAAAAATGCAATGTTATCTCATCAAGGACAATTATATGTAAAATAGAAATGATAAAATAAAGAAAAGTAAATAAATGAATTTCTAATAATGTAATAGTACCAAAAAAAGTAAGAGATATGTTCATAAATTGAAATAAGGTAATTGAGCATAACAAACATTAGCATTAAGCAGTTATTATTAGAACAACTGTGGAAACTTGAATGTGTACTTATACAGTGACTATAACATTAGATTAATATAATATGTATAAGTTTGAAATGGTATTGTGCTTATGTGAAGGAATCTATTTTTAGAAGGTGTAAGATTAATATTGTTTAAGACAGATTGTAATGTATACAACTTACTTTCAATGAGCTGCTCCAAAAAATGTATGTGTGTGTGTGTGTGTGTGTGTGTGTGTGTGTGTACATGCGTGGGTATAAAAGGTGAGAGTGGAAGAGAAAACTGGAAATCTAAGAGGAAAGAATGTTAGCAATCAAAATAATGAGAATACAAGCGTTCATTATAATAGTCTCCCAACTTTTCCATAGATTTGAAGTTTATAAAGCTAAGCAGGATGAATCAAGAAATACACATGTACACAAAGAAACATATGTGTGAGAGTATAATTTATATTACTATGTGTATGTGTGTATATATATTACCTATATAAAATATATAAATATATGTGCATATATATATATATATATATGTGTGTGTGTGTGTGTGTGTGTGTATTCATAGGGGAAGTCTTCTGTATTTTAAGAGACACATGAGGTCTCTCAGGTAATTACTGAATGCTTGAGGTGGGTCTCAAGACTGAACCTTGTCCCAAGCTTATCTGATGGTGTTAAGAATAAAACATTAGAATGAATAAAGTGAAATAGTCACAATTCTTCTTGACCAGAATGTGATTTCCATTAAGCCTGGAACTGGAACTTTGCCCACGCACACTCAAGTTCACTCAAGAGTGTTAACTATGACCCCTGACCACCCTTTCCTTTCTCACTTGAACTGCTTAACACAATCTGTGGTTTTATAAATAATTGCATATGAAATGGGGAAATGCTGGAGGCCTGGCACCAGAAACAAAGTTTAGGTTATTTCTCTGTTCTACATACTTAACTAAAGCTAAGCAGGATGAATCAAGAAATACACATGTACACAAAGAAACATATGTGTGAGAGTATAATTTATATTACTATGTGTATGTGTGTATATATATTACCTATATAAAATATATAAATATATGTGCATATATATATATATATATGTGTGTGTGTGTGTGTGTGTGTGTATTCATAGGGGAAGTCTTCTGTATTTTAAGAGACACATGAGGTCTCTCAGGTAATTACTGAATGCTTGAGGTGGGTCTCAAGACTGAACCTTGTCCCAAGCTTATCTGATGGTGTTAAGAATAAAACATTAGAATGAATAAAGTGAAATAGTCACAATTCTTCTTGACCAGAATGTGATTTCCATTAAGCCTGGAACTGGAACTTTGCCCACGCACACTCAAGTTCACTCAAGAGTGTTAACTATGACCCCTGACCACCCTTTCCTTTCTCACTTGAACTGCTTAACACAATCTGTGGTTTTATAAATAATTGCATATGAAATGGGGAAATGCTGGAGGCCTGGCACCAGAAACAAAGTTTAGGTTATTTCTCTGTTCTACATACTTAACTTGAGTACATAAAAGCTCACCTATTAAAAAAAAAACTTTTTATAAAGAATGAAAGGAGACAGGGACAGAATATAGCATAAGACCAGTGGACCTCATAAGAAATGACCCTCTCTCAGGGTAGGTCTAGTACTCTACCCCAGGTTGCCTCCAGATGTAGGCAGCATATGGATGGACTCATAATCACATAGCCCTAGAGAATGAGTCAGTCAGCTTCCTCACTGCTATGGAACTTCACTCTTTTCTCCATCTTATCTGCAAGACTCTCATCTTCCAGGAAAAGATAAAATATCCATCATCTGTGTCTTGCTCCTTCGTTTTCTTTCCCCTACTCCCATCGTAGCTTGTACTCACTTGCATTAAAGCACTTATTACATGCTCTTGGGAATATACTGTGTACTCATCATCTATTAGTTCTGCAAGGGCAGCACTGAAATATGATTCACACTGATGCCATATTCCAATGCAGAATGATGGGCCCACAAAGGCTGCATGAATGTTACTTCAATAAAATTATTTATGAATCATAAATCCTGAACAAACACTGTGAATTGTCAACGAAGTACAAACCACATTCCTAGAAATTACCTGCCATGGTTTTCTTTAGACAATATAGCCATTAACCGCTACAGAACAGTGAGTGTCCCTTCATCCACCATGGCACCTCCTTTCACATGAATGGCCTTTAACTATTGCCTGAATGTATAATTTTACAGATTCTAATCTTTATAGAGCACTCTCTTCAGCCAGTCTACCAGGATTAATGACACTTTAAATCCACAGTCTTCTGTATGTGGCTACCCAGGAAGCCACTTTTCTTACTGGCAAGTTGAAACAATATTCAGAGGCCAATATTTGGACACATGAATGCTCATTTAAGATGCTTCTGAAATTTTTGTATCTGGGATTTTTTTATGATTTCAAAGTAGTTCACATTTTCAAAATGAAATAAGCTTCCAAAGATAGAATAAGATAGCAAGGAAGAATTCCTAGATTGGAAGACACTGTGTATCTTCAAGGACAGAAAACTGACGAGATGGAAGAACTCTCAGAAAACACTTGCCCATGTTTATCTTTTCTTGTCTTCAGGCCCTTTTTTTCCCTGTCTGTCTCCTCAGGTTACTCAAACATACTGTGTTGGACAGAATGAAGATTTCATTATGTTCATGGTGAACAGACAGAGCATGTGGGGCTGATTAACCTGGTGAACCCCTTGAAAACAAGGATAAAGGGGAGAATATAAACAATATGGACCCTGAGTCTCTGAAAGGCTGCTTCTTGGAGGGATCAAAAATGTTCTATATGAGGGAACCAGCAGTTAGCATAATGGCTATGTCGCTGGACTCCCACGTAGTCGACCGCAGTTCACGTCCCAGACCCAGTGGCTTAAAACTCACGCCGGGCGCGTGTGCGTGCATGCCCAAGATCCCGAGAGGAGAATGGAGGAGAAGGGATTGCGGCGTGACCATCCCCCCTGGGGGGTGATTTCTCGCTTTCTGTCTCTATGTCTCTCTCTGTCTGTCTGGCAAGTGCACGCGCCCTACAGTGAAAATCTCTCAAAAAAAAAAAATGTTCTATATGACTGCAAGTAGATAAGCTGATATCAGGGAGGAACACAGCACAGGAAAAGATGGTAGTGCACAGTAAAACATAGGGAGTTGTGGTAGAATGATTGTGCCTCCCCAGGAGCTACATGTGATGATTCTAGCCATCCCCTCCAAGGTCAAAAGTTCACATAGCTCATTTGTTCTATAACTCTCCATCTTATCACAAACACACCAAACATTCTCCATTTCCCAAAAAAATAGAAAGTGGAGCCAACAGGTGGCGTAGTGGTTACAGTGCTGGACTCCCACATGGTCATCAGCAGTTCATGTCTTATACCTACTGCCTTGAAAATCATGCTGAGCACATGTGTGTGTGTGTGTGTGTGTGTGTGTGTGTGTGTGTGTATGTGTGTGTGTGCGTGTCAAAGACCAAGGAGGAGAATGAAGATGAGGTAATTGTGGTGTGGTCATCTCCCTTAGGAAATTATTTCTCACTTTCCCTATCTCTGTCTTTCCCTGGCAAGCACACATGCCCTATGGCAAAAACCTTTAAAAAATGTAAAAAAATTAAAAAAACACTGCACAAAATTGCCTCCATGCCTGTGGCCTGGGTAACCTTGGGGAGTGGTAACTCACCAAGGAATTCAGCCATGGTATAAAGACAGTGCCTCATCTGAAAAGTCTTCCTGGGCTTCTTCAGGATGTGGAGAGCTGAAGAAGGCTGAAACAGTAGCAAGGTAAGTAACTGAACCCTGCACACAGTCCCTTCTACATGACGTAGCAGTTGGAGGGCCTTGT